AATTTAAAATCACAAAGTTTAGTTTTGTCAATGCATTTATCTCGGCAGGTGAATTGGATACTTTGTCTACATTCTATAAGATGAGAAAATGAACATTGACAAATGTCTGAAAAGGGTTGCATAATAGAATTTTAAACCTGTTTTAAATTTTTGGTCAATAGCCTTATCATGAAAACAATATTCATCTGTTGAATCAATGCAATTTCTTTCATTATTACAAATTTTTGATTGGTGAACACATTGTCCATTATTGCATTTTCTGAAATAAATATTGCATTGATGACTAATTTAGTTTTGTTTTTTGTTGTATTTTGAAGACAACTCTCTACCTATCTTTACTATTGGAGCATTCCTTTATCTCTATTTAAGAAGATATGATATTAACAATTAAGCTTTAAACACCAATAAAATCTTACTGCAAAATAGTTCATCTGAACCATCTGTACAATCTTGGACAAAATCACAAATTAAACTATAACTAACAATCTTATCAGATGATTGAAAATGGAAAAATTGATCCATTTGAAAATGGCAGTTGATTTCATCTTCGGAAAATGGACAATCCATTTTACCGTCGCAAACAAATAAGACATTGATAAAAATTTTACTTTCAAAACATAGAAATGTGTTTAGAAGGAATGTAGAATTTAAATTGAAATTATCATTTCCCAGATCAGTTTTCTCCAAGGTATTATGCCTATTTTCTATAAAATACATTAAATTTCTAGTTAGTTGATTGGTTCATGGAATTTAAAAAATATAACTTGTATAAACCTTTTGACAAACATAGTATTTATTGGAAATTTCATTGCAATCTTTTTTCACTACTCTCCAATCTGAAAAAGGAACATTATCTATTTTTTATGTTACCATGGTAATGGCCGAAGTTAGTTACTTATTGAATTTTCAAAAGTTTCATCTATAAAAACCTATTATTTAGAGAAAATGTTTGTTAAAGATTGTTCAAGTTTGTCTTTTTGGAAATTTTAGTATTGTAAAGAGTTTTTACAGAGGAAAATTCAAGACATTCTCCTTTAGAGACATAAGAATCTCTAATAAAGTTTTTTAGAGTAGAAAATAAGATTGGAGAGTCGATGTTAAAAGATGTTACTGCCTGATTGAAATATTGACCCAGTTAATTTACAAAATGGAAGAGAAATAGAAAATTTAATGATAAAATGATTTTCTTACCAGAAAAGCGAAAATCATTTTAGGATAGAATGAAAATGGAATATTTGAAAGAGTTACAAAAATTTTTTGTCCTTTAAATTCCTCTCTTTTTAAAACTGCTTTTAATGAATGAAATTTAGCTCATAAAACATTAGCAGATAGATTTACTATTATAGGCCTTAAGATGATATTCAGCTTCGTCAATTTGGCCACATAAATACATAAACGCTTGTTGAAAATAATTTAATTCAAAATAGAGTTTTTTGCCTGGAAAATCTGCCAAAGTTGTATTGAATTTTTCACAATTTTTCTTCATATTAAACACTTGTAATGGTTTTTCTTCCTTAAAGATTGTGTAGCATATATTGTTCCTCAGATACGAAATCTGACCTTGACATTTAGAATCTAAATACAAAAAGAGGAGATAAACCATCAAAAAATTGACTGTAATTACCATACTGACATTTATTATCATACTCTTCAGTATGGTTGTAGCATATAAGCTTGCTATGTGAAAAGGACATTGTACTGTCAAGGATAGGATCAGGATCAAGATTAAGGTTAAAGGTTAAGCTTATAACTAATTTGTTGAAACGTACTTTTCACTCTTTTCAAAAATATAACAATCATTTAAATTCAAAGCTTCCGGTTTGCAGTACAAATGATTAACTAAAATCTTTTGATGATCATCAAATGAATTAAACGCAGCGTATTTAAAACCAAAAGTTTTACATATAATTTCGTGTTCAAAACGATAAATGAAACCAAATTTATTCATATTTCCATCAAACAAAAAATAGAGGTGACCTTCAATTCGCCAAAAAGGTATATTTGCAGTAGGTTTTAGGAAAATATTTCGTTTGACATCATAAAATCGATAATCTTATTTTATAAAAAAAAGAGTAGATTAATTAGTATTTAATCACTTAAAAAATTATATTTTTTTTTACCATAATCAGCCATTTTGTTCATAAAATTTGGCATGAAAATAAATATATCTTTCCTTTCTTTATCGTAGTAAGGTAAATAATCGCAGTTCAAAAACCAATTGGATTTATAAGAACAAACTATCATTTTCTTAAGATTTTTGTGTCTTGAACTAGTGAGAGTACTTTTCTGGCAGTGTTTAGGATTTGGAATGGAATTTAAATGTTCACAAAGTGAATTGCACAACGGATGTATGTATTTAATGTGGTCAATTTTAAAAATTGGTGGACTAACTCCAAAGGTTTTTGAAAGGAGAAAGATTTTCATGTATTCAATTCTTTGAAACAACCGCAAAAAGTACAAACTATTCTTGTCCATCAAACTAAAATATTGTTTAGTAATTTTATAGAGATAAGATAAGATGATTAATGCCCTCTGGTGGTGGTTTTTTATATCATAGTGTTACCTTTTACTTCCGAATAGTTGCATTTCAAGATTGATCGTTTGCTATATTGCTTACCTATTTTATTGAAATTGATACGGCTATTTTTGTCCAGATAGATATTATATGTAGATGAATCATTGAAAGTTTTAAATTTGTTTTTGAAAAGAAAGAATTTCGATTCTTTGCACAGACTCTCCCTATTTTTGGATTGTTTATTTATAGGAAGATAATCTTGTCCTTTTTTCAAGTATAAATCATAAACATTCCATTCAATTCGAACTGCAAAAATAACTGAAAAAAAATTCATAATTTAAAATATCAGTCTAGTAAACTAATTAATTAATATTCAATGTACAAATGGCGTTTCTCTTGTAGCATCTTAAGCACAATGGGTAGTCGCGAATTGTTCCATGTTCATATCTTTGTTAACAAAACTAGAATATTAATAAAAATACACCAAAAAAAAAATACCAAGTTTAATTTACATTTGACAGCATTTTTTATTTTTAAATATAATTATTTTTTTCATGGGAAATCGTTCTTTCTCACAAAATAATGTGTTTGAGTGAATGGAATCAAATCCAAAATATTTGCATATTTGATTAGTTTGACTAATGCTAAATTTTTCTGGTAATATTAAATTTTCATCTTTATCCTTAAAAGTAGAAATTAAATATCCTTCAACACTGATTTGCGTTTCATTTTTTATTTTTAGACTTAAAGTATGATTGCTGTAGAAATATCCATCTATTTGTTTTGTTGATATTTCAAGAAAAATCAACAAACTGTATAAAGTCTGCATACTTCTGATAGGGAGACTGAGAGTATATAAGAGTATTGTAATAAAATCTAAGCTGACAAACTGAAAATGATATCTTTCCCTTCAATATCTACAGTCGCGATATTAAGTAATTATAAGAAGAGTAAAAATGTCTAAAAATCGAAATATTTTGATTTAGGAATAAAGTGTATGATTGTCAATATTTTTTTGTATAGGATAGATGACTTGTGAAACATGATGGAAAATTTCAGATAAATATCTATATTTTAAGAATCAATTTATCTTTCTTTTTTACCATACTATGAATTTAGACAGCTATTAAGTAATTATAACATCATCATTATGATATTTGGAATTTTAGATATTTTTACTCTTCTTATAATTACTTAATATCGCGACTGTATAATTCGATTATTTTTCTTTTTTTATTTCAAAACATAAACCAGCAACTTTTCTTCATTTTTAATAAATAGTCATTAATTTTCTTCACATGTTCAATTGATTTTCGTGACGTAATTAATCTAAGTAATGTCTGTTTATAGATTTACACATGATTGTTTGATATGAAATTAGTTATCTTGAAATTGTTAATGGCAATACACTATGTAATTTATACCATTATAGGCGTTTTTTGTAATTTTTTAGAGTAGACGAATGAGCAATTATAACTATCTGACAAAACTGTTTGGATTTATATCAATATTTATGAATTTTTCATTTGAATATCTACATGTTTCTCGGCCTAAAAATCTTATGCAAAAAGAGTAGAGTAGGCCTATAAGCAATGACAACAAAAGCAGAGTAAAGCTTTAATGATTTAAACTAAAATTATACTATTTAAGAAATTTTCAGTATTGTCAAATGTTTAAAATCCTCATCTCTTTCTTTATTCCTGAATATAATTCATTTCCTTCTTTTTGATTGGTTGAGGAAAGAATTGAAAAAGAGAATATTTTAGGTGATTCTTTATATTCATGAAAATAAAATCCTCTTTCTATATTTTGTCTTTTTTGTTAACACTAATGTACTGCCCTTGTTTGGCCAATTTATGTATTTGCAATTTGCAACAGTACTCACAGGTTGTAGGACCAATTAGAAAAAAATTATTCAGTTCCAGATAGATAGGGTACAATGCCTTTTTTCTCTGTAGCAGTTACCATGTTATCATAGCTGTGGCTTGGTCCTGTTCTAGTGAACACCAGCAACTTTCTCTTCATTTTTCAAAAATATTCATCAATTTTCGTATCCTTAACTTACTTTCGTGATCTGATTAATCCGATAGATCTCTTTGACATTAATGTTTGATGTACATTTAGTAACTTTGAAAAGGTGAAGGTCAGAAATATACTGTTTATCATTAATCTTATTGAGTTGTAGTTTTCATTTCTATATGGTACTGATTTGTCCATTGAAATATCATTGCAATAATAATCTCTCATTTTTACTTATGATGGTAAATAATATTAAAAGGTTGAGTATATAAAGAGATGAGGAATTGTAAACATTTGATAACACTGACAATTTCTTAAATAGCACAAGTTTGGATTAAATCTTTAAAAGTTTACTCTGCTTTTCTTATCATTATTTATACACATACTCTATTCTTTGTATAGGATTTGTACATAACAAAAGATCTTTATAGGCTTAGTTGATCAAAGTAAAACATATGACGATATTCTCTCTCTCTCTATTTCTCTCACAAAGCAAGGGTTTTTATATAAAGGATTGCAAAATATACTTTTCAGCTCTCATTCTCAGAAAATTTTCTCAAAGTGAAGATTAATCCTGATTTGTTTCAATTATGGAAGAATCTAAACAAACTTGTGAACGATCTGATGTTATTGTTCAAAATTATGACGTACCGCGAGAAAATCTATCCTTCAACCAATCACAAAGTGTAAATATATATTGTACTGCTTAATTTGAAATAGATGATGTTTATAGTTTTTGTTTCTTTTGACGCTGTTTAGACACATGGAAACGCTTACCCTCAACCTGTTTTAGCTCAACCTGTATCTTCTACTGTTAATAATCAAGTATATGTTCAACAACCAAATCATTTGGTGGTTCATAAATCTCCTGTACCTGATACATTGATTCTTAGCATTATTTCAATGGTATTCTGCATCATTCTTGGATTGGTGGCATTAATTCTAAGCTTGCAGAGTAGAAAATCAAGAGATATTGGTCAAGTTGAAGAAGCAAGGAAGAAAGCGAGATATGCTAAATGTTTTGCTTTTGCAGCTATAATTGTATCTGTAATTCTCATTGTTATTGCAGTTATAACAAGAGCAATTGTAACTGTTTTAACAAGTGTGAATTAATGTAAAATACATTATTTTGAACTTTAAGCTCTAGATGGCGCCATTATATTAATAAAGTCATGGTCATAAAAATCTGGACACTGTGAATTTTTGATAGACCAAACCTGTACAATCTTTTTCATAGTCAAAAAAGATTTTCTTTTTATTTTTTGTCCGTTAAATTTTAGATAAAACTTGGATCTACATATAAATTTCTATCAAATAGTACTAAGATAAGTCTTTACATAATTTCTTTTGATTTTACATTGTTTATGTTTTGATGAGTTTTCTTCTTATTTGGCATCAAGACATATTATTCCGGACAATATTTTTATTATTTTTGAATTTGACGACCATGTTTTTCTTTGCACTTACCAAATCCCCTCCCAGTGTACAAAGCAGTACAGTCAGAATTTTTATTGACAATTTGGTAGGAACATTTTTTAATTTTCTCCTAAAATTCATCTTCAGACTTGAATTATGCCTCATCAACAACTAAATTTTTAGTCAGGTGCCACATATTTTCTATTGGGTTAAGGTCAGGGCTCTTTGCTGGCCAATCAATTGGATATATTCCATTCGTTGGCCCTTGTTGAGTGGCAACCTGCATTATCCTGTTAGAAGTTGTGATTCCTACCTATTTTATCTGAGATTTCTTCAATAACAAACAGGAAGCACATCTTCAACAATAAAACAACAGTAATTTTGCAGATTTAATTTTTTGCTTATCCTCCAAACTTCAAACGCCTCATCTGATGTTATTAGTCCCCAAACCATTACTTCATCCCTGTCCATGTTTTTCATCAATCCAAATTAATTTTCACTGTCATTTTTCCAGGTCCTAAGGTTATCAGTGCCACTCAGTGAGAATCTAGCCTCATCTGTAAAAAAATTTAGACCAGTCTAGATTATTGCTGAAAGTATTTAAGTGTGATTGTTTTCTTCTCTTACAGTCCTTGGGTATGAGATCAACTCTTTGTCATATACTTATAAATTTGAAATTTTGTCTTTTCAACTCGCTCTGAATTGTTTTAAGGCCTTCCTCCAATTCCTTGTTTCTTTAAGCCTCTTCTACTTTATATGTCAGTGATAAGTTTGATATATTTTGTAAATAAACAATATCTTAGCAAATGTTCACTCAAAAAATCTTTTTAATAAAACTAATCCTATATAAAACACCAATTGAAAAAAGTATGTTAAAAATTTCTCAAGCCAATTTATCCAGGCTCAGCAGTACTATCCATTGAAATATTATAGGCCTAGATATGTATTTTGTCAGCTCCCTAAGTCTACTTTTCTTTTGTTTAAGCAGGTAACTATTGTAGCGGATATGTTGGATATTTAAATTTATTGAATAAGAGAAAAAGATTGTTGAGAACGATTAAAAGAAACTGTAACAATAGAATCTTTTCCTCTTTTAGCCTATTTAAAATAATTAAAAAATCCTATTTTTCGTTTCAGTATTGCACACCAGAATTTGTTTTTACTTGTTGGCTTGCTGAAGATAAAGAATGATTCAATTTCTTGAATTCGTTATTTTCATTTTAAATGTTCAATTCATTCAATCAATAGAAATTACGTCAACATCCAATTATATTCATCTTATACTCGACAACGATTTCTACACAATAATGGAATAGTAAAAGTAAAATCTTTAAAGATTAACGCGGGAGCAGAATTGGCTTTTTCTCACGAATCCAGTAGGATAATTGTGAATGGAGGTAAAGTGGAGCTACTTGGAAGACATGATAAAAAAATCCGCTTGAACCGACAAAGAAATTTCAGTGTTGAATATATTCAAACTTCAAGTTAGCTGGATGATTTCTACGGTAAAAATAATTCTTCGCAGCATTTTGTGAAATATAACTGACTTTTCTTTCCAATTTCTTTCAAGATAATCTTCTTCTTCCTATGTATAAAAACCCTGAAACTCAAATTTTTGAACCAGTTTATTATAATTCGTGGTCTAGTTACACTCGACTTGCAAAGGTTATTTTTCTCTTTTCCTTTTCAATAAAAAAGTATTATCTTTGCAGTTGACCTGCAACCATTTTGGGTTATATAGAAATACGTCTACGAGTTAGCTATTAATTTATTTCATAGAGAGAATTAACAGTTTAGTTGTTCAAAACACAGATAATAAGCAGAATGGACTAATCATTCAATCAACTGGAAAAGAGGATAACGAAATTTTAAGTAGTAATGGTGGCCTAACAACATTGGATATTTGCGAAATGACTTGTTTCGATTGTTCTCATCTCGCATTTCCTTTAATCTTAACAGGAAGTCAAAGTTATACGACAAAGAAGATCTTTAAGGCGAAAGAAGGAGAAGTACTAGAGATCATTCTAATCGACTTAATTGACGCCAACATTCAGTTAAAAGAAGAAATACAAGAAGATTTTGTTTATCTCCTACAATATAATAGATTTTCTGTTAAGATAAAGAAATTTATCTCTTCAAATCAACATATCGAACTAGAAACTTATGAAAATGCTAAATTCTATTTGAATTCTATAGAATCTGTTAAAAAAAGAATCTTCTACCAGTTTCCTTTTTTTCAATTATTTCGCCTTTTTTCAGAAAAATCTCCCAGGTTACATTCATTCGATTCCGGTTCATTTTCCAGCATTATTAAAGGTTGAGAATTCCGTTGTAGAACACCATTTGAATGGTGTGGGAATAGTAGGGTGGAAAATTGTTAAATCTTTTATAGACAATAATCAATTTTGTAATCCTCAACTACCGTTTGAACTGGATCTGCAACCATTTCTAGACAGCTATCATTCTGCTCCAATTGTACAGTGTTCAAATAATTATTGTGGCACAGAGGATGTTTTAACAAGAGTCATTTCAGAATTGCAGGTGCTCAATAACAGACTCGTCAACCTCTTACCTTTCTACTCTTATTCAAATATGACGGGTCTCGTTTCAGACAAAATTTACTTATCACCTAAAACTTCAATTCTAGCTGGCGATGTTTTTGGTAACATTACCATAAAATCAGGTCACTATCTATTAAAGTCTCCCATCAGAGTGTTGCAAGGTTCAACACTGACAATTGAGCAGGATGTTACAATTGATTGTTGACCATTCTTTGGTATTGAAGTCTATGGTAAATTGGATATTATGGGTACCGAAACGAATAGGGTAACATTCCGTTCTGTTGAATATTTAAGAAATTCACCTATGTTCATAACGGAAGAGAATATCAAATATAAGTGCATGGAGAGGATATTGATGCTTTCATTTCGTATTGTTTCGCATTGGGATTAGGAAGATATTTCAGCTACAATTTGATTTCTTATAGAGATGGAGTTAGATTCACATGCAATTCCAGTTCGTATTTTGAATTCTGTCATATGGAGTTTGTTCGTTGTCGAGCAAATGTTCAATTATTTTGTAGATCAGTCTCCTGAAGGGGAATAAGCTACCACGCAAATTCATTACAGGGTAAAATACAAGGTTCGTCTATTTATGGTGCAGGCTATTTAAATTACAGCTTGTGATTAGCAATTTCGAATTGCTAAGGAACAATCTAACAGATGTTAGACTGGAGACGGACAGCCTCTATAGCATCCGGATTGGAAACATCTACCACAATGAATGTTCAATATTTGACAAGTTAGTAATAAACTCGCCCAATTCGAAAAATCACATTTCCATCAATCATAGAGGATGTTTAGAGATTAGAGATTCTTATTTTGACCATAGCTACATTAAACTGGTGACCTATAAATTTACATATTATCCTGATATGTTTAGAAGGGATATCACAAAGATAACAAATTGTCATACTCCACATATTTTCATTCCAAAACGCCAAAAAATTCTTCTTCATGTAAAGGCATTTTGTTCAATTGAGTTTGAAACTGAGAAAAATATGACCTTGACACTTCTATTATATCCTCTACATGATAATGATGGTGGAGTGTATAAACCTTGGTCCATTGAAGATTTCATGGCGTAAACCTTCCTACTATTTTATAGTTGAGAGTAGGCCTATTGAAGAAGGTAAGTTTTAAATAAGCCAAAGGTGACAACTAATATAAAGCATAAATTTCTGTTTTATTTAATCTAGTAAACAGAAATAGGCCTACAGAGGCTATAGGATTCCAATTGAAAAATTCAAGAATAAAAAATTTTGAACAATTCGCATTAGTTGTTCAACCAAAACTCGATCTAGCTACGAATGTTTATATAAAAAATTGCAGTTTTTTCGGTAAGGAAACTGCAATAGAAAACTCAGTGTCTTCATTGCAGAGTTTATGAATTGAAAATTCATATTTTAATGGAATGGAAATGGCAATTAAAATCAATTTAGATTATTTTAAACAGTTTAGTTATAAAGTTATCAACAATAGATTTATTAATACTAGACCATTATATTTAAATTACAACACTAACACCAATCAACCACAAGATATTGACAACTTTTCAATTGATTTTCGAGATAATTTCATCTCGGTAATTCAATTCAAAAATGGAGGAATTATTTCTGACAATTTCCCTTTTAATATTCCATTCAACAAAAGACAAATCTAATAGAGTGTGTTCGTTAGAAAAACTCACAAATATGGAAAAAGATCAATGCATCTTTGACATTGTTATCACTGATGATGAAAGTCTAGGAAAACAGGTAGCTTTGCAGAGCATTCTCTGCCCTGATATGTCCTCAAATAGGGGAAATTGTATCAATGGGACTTGTATTTGCATTAGCGGATGGTCCGGAATCAGTTGCGATTATGGAAAATGTGAAAAATGCATAAATGGAGATTGTAGCGGAGGATTTTGTAAATGCAATCCAGGATTTATAGGCCCAATATGCAATGAAATTACTACCTGCAAAGGAAATTGTTCAAACAATGGAAAATGCATAAACACTGTCGTCTGCCAATGTAATGATGGATGGACCATATCAAATTTCTCAGAAGAGGCTCAATGCCAGTTTATGTCATTTCATTTAGCACGCAATTGAAAGATTTTCAAGTGAAGGGAATTGAAAATCAAAAGAATTTTTCAAAAGCAACTGCAAATTCTTTGCCATTTACTACTTGGACAACTGTTACTGCGAGAGGAGAAAGTAGTGAAACCAAAGTATCTACTGATTTTACAACTCTTCAAACAACCATTACAGAAAAAGAAGGACCAGGAGGAGACATTAGTGGAACCCAAGTATCTACTGATTCTACAACTGTTCAAGCTACCATTACTGAGAAAGAAGGAGGAAGAGAAAGTAGTGAAACCAAAATGTCATTTGCTTATACAACTGTTCAAGCTACTACTGACAAAGAAGAAAGGCAAAGCAGTGACACAAAATTATCAAAGACTGATAAAACCATTGAAATCACTTCGTTTCAAACAACTGTTAAGGATGATAATGAAGATAACAGGGGATCGGGGACAGCTCTTGAGTGGTATCATATTGCGATTTTGGTTGTTAGAAGTTCTGTACCCATTTTTGGAGTAGTTTTTTTGATATTTGCGATAAAAAGATTGTGCTAATTTCAACTCAATAAGATTGAATTTTTATGTCTTCTATTAAAAAAGTTGAATTTTCATTGAGAACAGTCTTCTATCAACTATTTAGTTGAAACATCAAACGCCACCTATCGGGATGGTTTACTATTCAAAACAGTTCAAGCAACTAATGAAAAAGTAACCAATCTTTACCTTATCTATTTCAATAATGTTCTAGTTAAGGGGTGATTTATATCATAAACTTTTAAACAGACAGAGAATGTGACAAGAAATGTAAAATCTATCTTTCACTTATAGACAACACTATGAAATAATTCATTTCTCTTTTAATAGTACTACTGTATATCTTTCAGAGAAAACTGGTAAAAATATCACAGTACATATTTCTTTCTTTAAAAATATTAATATATTATTTTATGATTAAGCAAACAGCAAAAATTAATAAGTTTTAAATTGGATAATCCGCTTAAAATTCTGATCAAAACAAGTAAATATTACAAGTTTCCATAAGCAGTGTTTACCCTTAACGCTATACATGTATACGTATTTTTTTTCCTTTATGCCTTCTAAGGAATTTTTAATTAATTAGTAATTTACAGTTGATTAATTAAAATTCTGTAAATCCTATATAACAGAATACTGTTTTCTATTTATATTTTAGATATATAGAGAAAGAAAAAACAAGGATGAAAAACAATTCAAGTAGTGAATTTAATTATCCTGTTCCAAAATATATTAGATGTTCAATTATAACAACTTTTATATCACTTACAATTATTTTTAACATATGTGGAATGAAGATTATGTTTTCAATGACTAAGGATATTCATAAAAATTCAAAAATTTTACTAACTAATTTATTATTAAGTGATTGTTGTGCTGGTTTTTCAACAATACCAACATCATTAATATCTTCTTGGACTGAAGATTTCAATAATATTAGTAACCTTTGTCAATTTGCTGGCATGGTCTTCGGTTCAACCGCTGCAATATCCATGTGGACAGTAGCATTTATATCAATAGATAGATTTTTTGCAATCAATTATCCAACGAAATACAAAAAATTTTTCAGTGAAAGAAAACTGAAAACAATAATTGTATTTCTATGGTTGATTTTCTATTTAGTTTTTCTTTTCCCTATTTTAATAACACCAAATTTTAGATTTTATATATTTTTAAAAGTTGAATGGTATTGTTACAATGTATTCAATTTAAAATGGACATTTTCAACAGCTTTTTTTATACCTGGTCTGTCGTCTGCTATTCTCTTTATTACAACTTTTAAATCGGTTAGAACACTTATAAAACACTCTAAAAATATTCATCCACAAAATTCAAAAAAAACTTATGTTTATGTAAGAAAACAATCAAAAGCAATTAAAATGTTGATTGCAACTGTATGTTCATTTTATATTTTATGGTTGCCATATGTAACGGTTTATATCTTAGAAAATACTTTAAATAGACAACTTATTCAACATTTTCTAAAATTTCTCCTCTTTTGGCTTGCATTTTCAAATAGTTTCTTAAATAATCTTATCTATATTTTTATATATCCAAGTTTTAGGCAAAAATTAGGTCAATTTGTATATTCAATATTTATCTGTGCAGTTTTTTGTAATAAGGAGCAAAACGCCCACCAACATCACGAGACCGAAATTATTCAACAATCTTCTGATTGTGCAGTTTAAATGTTCTGACAATTTGTTCACAATTCATATTTCTATTGCTATATACAGTTTTAATAAAATCAAACAAATGACGTCAGTACTGTACGATGATTTATTATTTTTTACTGCCTTTGCAGTAGTTTGTCAAAGAACTTTACTGTTTGAAATCAATATTACTTTGGGTGATTATCGAAAATTGTATAAAAAATTTTTACTTTTTCTTATTACTTTATTGCTTATGAAATTTTTGAACAGTAAAAGCAGATTAGACTGAATAGCAGCTACGCAGCTAATGGATAATATTTAAGAATTTAAGAAATACATTTTGCACGTGCAATCATTTCAAAAGAACTTCCTCCCATATCGGTACCTTCAAAATAATTGATGTTTAAATCTCCAGTTTCGTTAATGTAATAAGTTGTTCCCAGTTTGGGAGGCTTTAAGTACTGCCCTTCAAAGATGCTAATTCGATTCGTTTCCGAGCTAGCGTAAATAGAAAGTAGAAAAAAAATCATTTAATATATTATGACCTTGACCTTGCAATGAAGGTGTATACTGACCCCACTTTATTTGCCTTTCCAGAATACTTAATATAACGAAAATTTTGAGAAAATGTCAAAACATGGTAACTCATTCCAGTATTTCTCTGTAGATTGAATGAGAGAAATTCAAATTCCACCTCCTAAAATGATAAACAAATGATAGATTTGAATGTTTTGAATACAGAAATATAAACAAAATACTATATTCTTTTGGTGTACAAATTGAGTAATTGAACACCATATTTTTAGTTTTACTGATTGGAGATATGATTCTTAAATCTCCCATATCACAATGAATATTAATATCATGATTATCCCAGTTGCATAGAACTTGTCTCACTGGTAGAGTTTTTGGTAGACAAGAGAGTGTAGTTGTCAAATGAAATCCGGTCTTTTGTGTATATCTATCACTTTTGAAAATTAATTTAAACGAATTTTTCATACTAATAAAATATGTTTTATTTATATCCACTTCATGAGAATAGGGTTTCATTCTTAGGGAAATATTCCCTTTATTGCCCACAACTACAAAAACAAAAGAGAAGAATGTGAAATACAATTTGTAAATTAATTGGAAATTTTACTTGGATCTTCGCAGAATTTAAAAGACTGTCCACGATCATCGATAATCTCAACATAATCGAATTTGCAAGCATAATGTCTTTCAATATCAAAATATTTAAATTTGAAATAAATTGTCTGGCAAATGCAATGTTATTGTTATTTATTGAAAAATGATTATTTTTACCCCTTTCCTCCCTTGTGGAGGTATTAAATGAATAAGACAATCTGAATTGGGTAAATATGGATTGCTGGAAATGATATTATAACTTTTTCCATTACAATCCAATTCAACTTTTTGAGTTGTTCTATTGTCACAAGAAACTGGTTTATTATTTACAAATAGTGTTGCTGTTTTTGGTGATGTTTCTCTTGTTTTTAGTGTTTTTGTTGTTAATTGGGGTATTGGAGTAGATAAATCTATTTCCACAGCAACACTACCAACACCACTTGCTGTTTTTCTATCAGAGTAGTTGGCAGTTAAAAATTACGAAATTAATGTTTGGCACGAAAATATGAGATATTTTTAACTTTTAATTAGGCCTTTTCCGCATAAAGTCACTTTTTCTGTGTCATCCGAAATTGTTAGATAGTCGTAATGGCAATTTTTTGAAAATTCAAGATGGAATTCATCAAATTTTAACTCTATGTACTATAAATAGAAATTAAATAAGGATAATTGGAAAATTATAAACTATTATCATATAAGTGGATTTTGATCCCATTTAATCCCAGTTAACTTAATTTTGAATAATAAAAGCGCTCATTTTCCACAATTAACATAATACAAACCCCGTTAAACTCTTCTTCCACAGTCATAATTATTATACAATTTTGATTATTTGGATAATTTTTTGGATAATCCTTCGAAGAGATTAAATAATCCGCTGTGTAGTTACTGTTCAATGTTTGATTTAAAATAATCTGTCCATCGCATTCAATCTGTTCTAAAGTCTGGTTTGAAAATTTCTGATTGTTGTCAATACATCCATCACTATCCACACGATATTTATATAAAAGAACCTATTTGATATTTGAAAAATGAATGAAAAGAAACACCAAATATCTTTTACCAAGATGAACAGAATGCCTCCTTGAACACTTTTCAACATGTTTGCTTTTTTATTCTCCTCTTCCGACTATCTATAGAAATTGAATTAGAAAAACACTCTAGCGTTAGTATTCAATCAATCAAATAAATTCAGCAATTGTGGTGGTGTTGATGACCTCTTCTTATATATTATTTTTTTTGCTGAAATTGTCAATTTTTTAAATATGAATTTCTGAAGAATTGTTTACAATATCAATAATTATAATGCTAAATGTCTTTATTTTATCTCATAGGCAAAAATAGACAGACACCTACGCTAAAATACCAATTTTGATACAATAAACCAGGATTAAGGCTCATTTATAACTGTTCGTAATTATATCAGTTTTCTAATTTACAGAGTAAATAGGCCTAAAATCGCTAGATGTTTGCTTCTTGAGAATAAAACTTTTAGCCCTGTTGAAAAATTTATGAAAGATGAGTCTGATTAATAATTCTGTCAACATTTATTGTATATAGGCCTAGTCTATTATGAAAAATAAACTTTTTATATCAAAGTATACAATAAATGATCCCATTGTCACATAAGTATTTGTTACCAAGTATTTCTATACATTATGTAGTGGCTACAATTCGTTTTACAAGTGCCGATATCATTCACTTGTTGACTATTACGAAACTCTCCTACTGCTAAAAGATTCCAAAAAGAGCTGAATTCAATGTTCTGTCGTATTGGCAGACTTTTACAAAATAATAACCGTTTTAAAGAGGCTACAAAAGAATGTTGACGCCATTACAAATCCAATCCTTATCTGAAAAGACTCAGCAAATTGAAATACTACAGTTTCAACGAGAAAATGATAATATAATGCAATCTTTATCTATAGGAATTGTTCCGAGGTTGGGACAGTTTTTCCTACCTCTTGGATGTCTTTTCCCGTATTCTTCCTCCCTCTCTGGAGAAGTGTATTATTAATCTCTTTACTTCTGTATTATTTTGATTAATTTTTACTTTCTAGAATTAACATTCAAACCTGGCAAAAAATAACATAGCGTCATTTGAATTGTCTGCCCCAAGATAACAAATATACTTCTACTTGTCCATATTTCTTTCTAACAATAGTTTTGGTTCAAATTCAGGTATAGGCCTAAGAAAAATATTCTTTAATGTTAAATTAGCTCTATTATTAATTAAGATAAAGTTGTGAAATCTATCACTGGGACTAATACTTTTTCTGCCAGCTACTAAATCATTTTTCAGAATTCAAAACAAAAGGGATGGAGTAAAATTTTTAATGTATTGTTTGTCCAATAGGAGACAAACACTCATCCCAAAGTCATTCATGTTCAAATCATTTTCGTTTATTCAAAATATTTATTCAAACTTATTTCTTGGAATATTTGAATTGATTAGAATTAGGAAAAATAAAGTAAATTTTCCAATTATGCACTCTGGTTTTCATCTAAATTACAATTACTAAATTCAAAAGAATTTAATGTGTTTGATGAACATTGAAGTCCTTCACAAATCGCAAGAAAGCCATTTTTCATTTTTTCTATAAAATCTAAGACAATTCAATGTCGCTTTCTGTATAGAAAATAGAGTAATAATTGACCTTTGATGTCCTTTTGCTGACAATCAGTTTATTAATTACAAAGCACAGCTGCAAAACATTATTAAAGATTATAAAATGTTAATATATACAACTCTGTGGTTTTAAATATGATTTAGAGTGTCACTTTACAATTTGTGTATTGTTTTTTTTTGTAAGCATTAGGTTTGACTGTTAAATCCAATCATCACTTTACAATTGGCACATTGTCTAATTCATATCTATCTTTAGTAACACAATGTTATAAGATTTAACAATTAGGTGCGCTAATTGAATTATAACTGGGCAATACTTTAGGAAGGCCAATTAGATTCTCCATAAACTGAACTGTAAAACTTGACTCTGCATTCACTCAATTGGAAGGAATATTAGAACTATATCTATGCTGTTTGTTTGGAGCGTCAACAATATTTCTAATCAGTTGATTTCCGTTATCATATTCAAATTCTGACATTTTGCCATCAAATATTGCAAATGCTGTCGTTTTAAGAGTAACATTTCAGGCCATATTAGGCCTGAGAACTAATCGTTAGGAATCTCAACATTGGTTAGGCCTAAACTCTAAACAGTCAAACAGCTACAAGTGATTAAACATTAGTTGGAAAGTATTACTTTTCCATTTCATAATAAAGATATCTATTAATTCTTGATGTTCACTTCAGTTCAGTAATTTTTATCACACGAACAAGAGATTCAACAGAGGAAACAATGCAGAAGGAGATTGTTTACTTTCTCTTGTCTATTACAATCCTGTAAATTTGGCGTATAAACAATTTACAAACATGTCTGGTTCGTGGCCAACTAGCAACACTCACTTGATCGTAAATGGAGAATTTAATCCCAAATACCTGTCTCATGAAAGATGATAGTGTTCCTACACCACAAACACCTGAAGAATGTGACTATCACGATGGACACTTACCTCTTTATACAATTTTAGAACTGAATAATATCAAATACAATATCATAGTTGATAGTGAAATAGCTCAAACATGTATTGAAATCAAAATAAACATAACGATTATTCAAAGTAAAATATAAACAAGAGAATTATTGAAGTATTGTTGAAATTCGTGTTCTATTCATAATCCAATAAACAAATTTAGAAAAAACGATTGAGTAGATACTCAACCAAAAGTAATAATACATAAAGTAAATATTCATTGCAAAAAAAGAGAAAATTTTTAATTTATTATTAGGAATCGTGTCAAAAAGTTGCAAAATATTAATTAGAAAAAGACTGTAGAATTTATTAGTAAGGCAAAAACAGTTGAATAAAAATCTAATGTATATTAGTCTAGAATATCTGATTATGTAAATATTTGTAATAGTTAAAATAAACAGTAAACATATTGGTATGTAACCTAATTTGGTTACTCTATTACCAACATCTTCAGCCTTTAATATATTTGTAAATATTAAATTATACAGAAATACAGTTATCAGAAAATCAAGAAATGTTAAATATGTCCAATTTGAATATTCAATTTTATGGACTATATTCTTTTCAATTGGTAAATAATTTTTTACAATCACATTTTTAGCATCCAAAATTGAAAATTTGGTTTCTGATTTAAAGCCACCTACCTCCATTATTAGTCCATTTGTAGGATTATCTATCTGCGATAATGATTGCTCATTTCAAGGAGAGTGTACAGCACCTGGTGTGTGTAAATGTAATACTGGATTCTCTGGAGACAATTGCACATAGGTAACGACTTGTCCTCTGCTCAATAATCTGGAAATGGAATATGCACTGACCAGGATACTTGTATATGTGATTTAGGATTCAATGGAGATAATTGTTATCCCTATCCTTATCATCTTTCATACACCTTGCGAACAATCAAATAATAAATCAACTGCTATTGGTAAAATTTCAATAAATACAAATGGAAATCGTCTGGTATTCGATAGCCAATCAGAGTCAAACGATAAAAGTTGACATAGTTTATATTATTAGTATATACTTCGAAATCATCAGTACAACATTATTAAATTTCAACTGCTGAAACAAAGTATAATTAATGAGCTGTGTCAGCAATTTGGATTTGATTTCCTTCATTCAGATTTTTTGAGTTTCCCAAACCAGTAAACCATTTTTATATGAAAATCTAAGTATAGAATTTACAACAATACAAAAATTGAAAGCTCATCCTCATTTTCGATTGTCTAATTTAGTCAAACACTCACCACTATAAAGTGGACGACAGGTATGTTGGAACACCTCAAATTTTTATAGGTCAAATATTAAAAATCTTTTTTGTGATGAAAAAAGATTATTTGTTTTATTTTTTTAGTGTTTAATAATAGGTTAAACTTGTAATTTTATATAAATTTCTTTAAAACAGCAGTTAGGTACATTTTTACATATTTTTTTTTTATAGAAATTACCATAGTTTTCTGATTTTTTTTCTTATTTGGACAAGTTTATTGGAACAATGTTCAATAGTTAAATTTTTGGTCTACTTTTTGTATGTGCCCACCCTCTCTTTCTATAAATTTTGCTTATTCTATGGCCCATTCCCCCATATAAGCCTGGCAACAAGAGTGGATTTCTGTTGATAACCTTGTAGGAGCATTTCTTAATCTTTTCCCACAGTTCATCCTCTGTCTCAAACTGTGGACTATCATAGACCATTGTCTTGGTCAGATGCCACATGTTCTCTATTGGACTCAGATCAGGGCTCCTTGCTGGCCAATCTATTGGTTTGATGTCATTGCTTTTAAAGGCCTTTTTCATTTTTCTTACAGTGTGACAGCCAGCATTGTCTTGCTGGAAGATGTACTCCCTGCCCATTTTTGCCTCAATTTCTTCTATGACAGGCAGAACATCTTCCACAATGAAGGAGCTATAGTTTTCAGCATTCAGCTTGCTCCTTATCATCCAGACTTCAAA